TGGCAAAGTTCCAACCAATCAAATATCTCGCTGTCAGTTTCCCAACGAAGTCTGTATCGCCCTGAGTCGCTCAGAGCCTCATGAGAGCCACGCGTCTCTATGTGATGCGTGCATCAGGCTTAATGTGTATTCCTTAGAAGCCGTGCTGGAGGGTTGTCACTCGAAACGTTAGTTTCATTCCTCCTATTGTGTTTTTTTTATGTTCAAGTGAACATGTGTTGATGTTGTTATCGTTATTGAAGATGATTACTTAAAATATATCTGTAGACTTTCACGACCAATACGATGAAGCATCCTTGGTTTATTTTGGGTTAGATCAATGTTTAACTATAATCCTCCACCATCAGACAGTGCCAATGAAATGAAGTTGTCACGCAAGAAACGGTTTCGATGCCTTTCACCATTCCTCCTCCTACTTTGCTGATAAACCGAACCATTTTTGCATATTTGCCCACGTGACAACTTGCTTTGATTGGCCGTCAGATGGTGGAGGGTTATTAGTTAAACAACTGCATTATATTTCGATTTAAAGCGTTCGTGACTGCAGGGATTAATCTTTTAGGTTTTTTCGGTAAAGTCACGTAGAAGGGAAATAATAAAATAATAAGAATAAAACATAACAAAATAAAAATTCTCACGACGTTTCGGCCACAACACAAGCAGCCGTCCTCGGATGAAGAAACAGAAACACGGGACCAGAACCCAAAATAAAGATTTATGAAGATGATTGTGTTGCGTATATCTGTAAAATAATTTATTTCCAATCATCTTTCTACACGTACACAGTCAATAGTGTGTGTGTGTGTGTGTGACCATATACGTTAAATATAACCTCCAATGTAAAAGACTATTATTATTATTGACCATTTCATATTGTGTCGGTACAATGGTCGATACGTGAGTGCGGTAATCGTGTTGTTTGTAACACATGCGTTAAATACATACCTGTACAACGCACACATGTAAATGAATCATCACTACTATATTATTTTAAACACGCAGGAACACATATACGAATACATCGGTACAAACTCACTAAAAATATCGTATGCTGATATTTCGGTAAATATCTCGAGCAAAAAATATTAATTTGCACATCTTTCCTAACCCACTGCTGAATTAATGCCTATTGAGAGTACAGTAATAAAACGAATACAGTACTACATTCATTACCTGCTCAGGTATTGTTTACATATTTATACAGAATATAAATCTCTCTTTAAACTGCACTTTGACAACGTCACGTAAACGTTTGTCGGGGAGCTAACAGACGACCCAGGCCCAATTTCAGAGCAATTTACTATCAAAGATCAGCTCGGATTTGCAAGATTCAGACTGAATCTCGAAGCTACATGAAGATATAAACGAGCCTCTATAAATAATAATAATAATCGCGATTATTATTACGTCCAGCCCCTGTGCTAATCCACTGCTGGATGGAAGCATCCCCGAATCCGTGAGAGTTGTTCTTTTACGAATAAAAAAAACTTATATTTTAGTTTTACCAGGAAAGGCCCACTGAGCTATGCAACTCGTTTTTCAGAAGCGACTTAGCCACAAATGATAGCTCAACGAAGCGGTTTATCACGTGGACATTTATAGCGGCCAAATCATCTAAACGCGTGTTGATTCTAAATGTGGAAGGGGAAAAACCGGAGGACCCGAGAAAAAAAATCCACGCGACCACGGGGAGAACACACAAACTCCAAATATACAGCAGGCGGCAGGGTCGGGATCGAACCCACTACCTCCTGTATACCTGGCGAGGTAGTTAACATCTCGCCATACTTCACCACGTTGGTTTAGTTAGTTCATGCGGGCTAGTGAAGTCCCGCACGACAGGTTCAGCCGTGGCCAAGAATCAAAGTTTTGTGACCGGCACGCAGTGCGCTAATCACTGCACCACCGCTCCCCGCTACGCTTTAAATACGTACCGGATACACTAACAATGTTATTAGCTTATTTTACGCACAGACTGGTGTACAGCATCGTTTTCGCCTACCGGTATGCATATCTTAAGGTTATTTATATACAGACAACAGCAAATATCCCCCGTATTGCCAAAGCAGACTGTTGGGGAGAGTAATTGCTAGCGAGCACCTATCGAAGCAAAATGGCACTGAAGGGGGTGGGTGGCCAGGACCACGCCCGGCCGCCTTTGTCTCCCCTATAGCCGCGATGTTTACACACCGCGGCAGGTACTCATTTAAGGCTGAGTCGACCTAGGGGAGGCCCAGGACCGGTTCAGATAATCGTCACTGGTGTTGGCCGTGAGCGGGAATCGACTGCGGGTCGCCAGGTTGGTCGTGCAGCGCGTTAACCGCTACACTGCCGCTCTGCACATTATTTACATACATACACACATACATATATATAAAGATAAAGATTCCCCGTATAGCCTTAACAGACTGTAGGGGCAAGTGCTGTTAGCGAGCACCTATGAAGGCCGGAACGGTACACGAGGGGGTGGGTGGCCAGCACCACGCCCGACCGCCTTTATCTCCCCAGTGGCGATGTTTACACACCACACCAGGTACTCATTTCAGGCTGAGTCGACCTAGGGGATGCCCAGGACCGGTTCAGATAATCGTCACTGGTGTTGGCCGTGAGCGGGAATCGAACCCGGATCGCTAGGTTCATAGCGCAGCGCGCTAACCGCTACACTACCGCTCCCCACAACACATATATATACATACACACACGCACAGAGACATATATACGTGCAGCATTACGTGCGTTTCCACACATAGAGGGTATACAGTGCATATGGTGAGAGTTAGAAAGGTTCACTGATGACTGATGCTGTGCTGCTTGACTTCATAGAGCATCAAACCCCTGACCCCAACCACCACCACCACCACCACCGCCACCCGTCAATCCGCAGCCCGTAACCCCAGTAGCGCGCCCAGAGTCGGGGATGGACACTCGGATTCCGCAGTCGACGTCGCTCCATGCGAGTATGCACGTTGCACGTGTATGTGATTGAACTACGTTGAACTTCTTTCGCACCGTACGTAGCCAACCGTGCCCATCGGAGGGTGCGTGGGGAAGGACAGCGAACTGAACACAACAAGAACGGCTCTAAAGAGGAAATTAGCGCCTTCCTAATATCGGCAGGAGAAGAGCGTTCCGGAGGGCTGAGGAAACGCACCTGAACTTTACACAGCAACGAACGCGACGTGTGGACATTATCTATGCATTTACAGTATACACATTTTACATTTAAAAGTAATTTTTGATTTGGTTGATCTCAAAATGAGTTCGAACAACGTATGTGCATTTCTGGGGTTAGATAAGTCTTACACGCGGCTCTTTTTGAGTCGGCAGCGAGTGTGCGTAGGTGAATGTGTGCGTGTGTGCGCGTAGGTGAGTGTGTGTGCGTGTGTGTAGGTGAGTGTGTGCGCGTGTGTGTGTAGGGGCGTGTGTGCGTGTGTGTGCGTAGCTGAGTGTGTGCGTGTGTGTGCGTAGGTGAGTATGTGCGTGCGTAGGTGAGTGTGTGTAGGTGAGTGTGTGCGTGTGTGTGCGTGTGTGTGCGTAGGTGAGTGTGTGCGTGTGTGTGCGTAGGTGCGTGTGTGCGTGTGTGTGCGTAGCTGAGTGTGTGCGTGTGTGTAGGTGAGTGTGTGCGTGTGTGTGTGTAGGTGAGTGTGTGCGTATGTGTGCGTGTGTGTGCGTAGGTGAGTGTGTGCGTGTGTGTGCGTATGTGAGTGTGTGCGTGTGTAGGTGCATGTGTGTGCGTGTGTGTGTGTACACACGAGTGAGTACGTGTGTGCACACACACGAGTGAGTGTGTGTGCACACACGAGTACACTCGTGTGAAATGTTCACGGGTGAGTGTCTACGTGCGAGTGCTTGTGAGTGGCCCAGCGTGTGTAATTATGAGCGACTGCGTGTTGTGAATGAGCGTGTATGAGCGAGTAGGTGAGAGTGTGTGTATGCGAGTATGTATTTGTGAATGTGTGTGTGTGAGCACGTGTATATGCGAGTTGCGTTAGTGTAGGTCGACTCAGCCTAAAATATGTACCTGGTGCGGTGTGTAAACATCGCCACTGGGGAGACAAAAGCGGTCGGGCGTGGTGCTGGCCACCCACCTCCTCGTGTGCCGTGCCGGCCTTCATGGGTGCTCGCTAACAGCACTTGCCCAAATTACCTGTCAATGCTATACGGAGGAGCTTTGTCTTTGCACATGAATGTGTATATCAGTCGGCGCGTGAACTTGAGTGAGGCTATTAGTAGGAAAGTGTGTGTGTGTGAGAGAATGAATGAAAGCAAATCCGCGATTGAGTTAGCACGCGAGACTGTGAGCGCGTGTGTAACGCAAAGACAAAAGACCCCCCCCCCCATTATAGCTTTAACAGACTGTTGGGGCAAGTGCTGTTTAGCGAGCATCTACGAAGGCCGGTAACGGCGCATACATTGCACACACGCACAGACACACTCGATACACCATCGCATTTCCCAAAAAAAGGCATTCGCAGTTCACCGACGACAATTCTTCACGCGAGACGCAGCGAGGAGTCACCTGGGAGTGAACACAAACAGGCGGGCAGACCGCGCAGCGGAGGCGGCGGTGGCATCGACTGAAAATCATCGCAACACCGCGCGTCTGAGCCCGGGCATTGTTCGTCCCCCCCCCCCGCACCACCACCGCACTTCACGAACGAGACGCGAAAATCACCCGCGTCGTGCATGATGCACATCGCGCGAGGAGGACTCGAGCCAGGGCAACGGGGCCCGCGCACAGCGCGAGAACAGAACCCAAACCACCACCCCCCAACACCCCCGCCAGCCTTCCCTCCCTCCCTCCTAACCTCTACCCGCAACCCTCCTCATCCTCCCAATCAACCCCTCCCACCTCGTCACCAATCCTCCCAATCAACCCCGGCCTAAACCAACAACCCTCCCTCTCCCTCCCTCCCTCCTATTAGTTCGCCCCCCCCCGCCGCCCTCCTCCCCCCAACTCCCGCACCCGAACCCCCCGCCCCCGGGCCAATGATGGCTCCTGAAGGGCGCTTTGCTTTACGCACTCGCGTTCGGCATCCGAGTGCGGACACCGGAGCCGAGGCGCCGCGCTCACTTCGCGCTCCTCCTCCTACTCCTTCTCTCGATTCGTTTGCCGCTGCTCCTTCGTTCTTGTCTTCTTCTTCTTCGTCGTCTTCCTCCTCCTCTGACTGATGCGCGCCTTCTCGTCGTGCGGGGCATCGATCCTCATCAGGCGCATCCGTCTCGTCCGCTGTTGCACTTCAACGCGGCGAAGAGAGGATTCGGACTGACGGAAGACGAATTCGCAGTCTAACTCTCGATAGCGGCAGTCGTAGCAGCAGCGGTAGTCGCGGCAGTCGTGATCGGACGCGGAGCGGCCGAAGAAATCGCGAGCAGGCACGAATCCTACCGGGTCGGCTCGCCCTTCCTGGGGTCTCGCGCGCGGTTGCGCGCTCACACGCAGGCGGAGCCGCAGGCATACAGGCGAGACTCACGAGCAGACGCGCAGGCAAACGCACACGAGTCGGACAAGGCAGTCGGGCAGACATGGACCACACGGGCGGCAACCCCGTGGTTGCACAGACGCATCACCACGGGGGCGGACATGAACCCATCAGCTTCGGAATCGACCAGATCCTCAACAGCAGCGACCAGGGCGGCTACCTGATGGCCGGAGGCCGCCTCTCCGACTCGGACTACCACCTCCAAGGCAGCGGGGCTTACAGCGCCTGCATGGGCCCTCCCTACAACGGCTACGGCGGAGGAGGTGGAGGAGGCGGAGGAGGAGGAGGCGGTGGGATCTCGGGGAGCTGCGGAGGCGCCGGTGCGGGCGGAGGAGCAGGCGGCGGCGGGGGAGTGCCTCCCTGCGGCGTGCCCACGTTCACGGGATCCTACAATGTCAACATGAGCATGAATGTGAACATGGCGGCAGCGGCTGCTGCGGCGGCTGCGGCCGCGGCTGCCGGCGGCCCTCACGGCTGCTCGGGCGGTGGTGCCGGGATGATGGGGCCCGGCGGGGTGATCCGCGTGCCCGCGCACAGACCCATGCCGCCCCCCGGGGTGCACGGACCCTCGATGGGCGCGGGCATGGCCCCCATGCCCGGGGTGACTCCCATGAGCAACATGAGCAATCTGAACGCGATGAGTTTCCCGTGGATGGAGAGCAGCAGACGCTTCGCCAAGGACCGGCTGACAGGTGATTCTGCCAACCGAGCTGCTAAAGTGTCTACGTGCCGGGCAGCGTAGTAAATCTTCATCGTTATTAGCATGATCTGCATCATCATCATAATTAGAGCAGTGCATCTGTACATTGCCACCATGTTTTATTTGTAATGGTTCTTTTGTTTTGAAAGGCAAGGCAGACGTTGGAGGCTGGGTGGTTGTGTGGGATGAACGCGCGTGGGTGTTTGTGAGAGCTGTGTATGCATGCGTGACATTAATTTGCATCCAGTGTGATTGGCTACGAACACTGTTGATTGGTAATATTCACACTAATGCACTCGGGTAGAGGCCTCACCACTGAGTCTCACGAAAACCAACGTGAGCTGCGTCATGACGTAAGTTTTTAGTCGTCATTAATGTATAATTTAATTAGAATATCGAATTTTATAGGCGTCGTCCTCGCTTAATTAACGCGTGTTATGCAAATTGTGTTCATTGATGAGTTCCAATCCACGAGGCCGAACAACGAGTTGCTCGGACGGGCTTTACGCAAATGAATTCATTTGTATTTAGCCAACAGACAAATACATTGCACGGGATTATCCCAGGTGCCGTACGCGGTGTGGGTCTTAAGACCACGCAGAAGCGTAAATTGTAGAGCGACTTAATAAGGAGCCGCTCACTATATTAATACGGAGCGGTGTAGCCCGCGCATCGTAAAATAAAATCCATGCATTTTTAATGACGACGAATATAACCCTTGGACGCGTACATATGTTTGTATTTACGCGAGCTTTATTGATACGAGCATTGCGCGTAATACAATGTTAGATTTTTGCGTGCAATTCGTGTTAACTATTTCATTATAGGGCCCTAATATTTAGCGTGACCGGCGTGGTGAAGTATGGTCAAATACACATCACAAACCCAACGTGGTAAAGTATGGTCAATTAAACCCTACCGTCGATTGGCGAAAGCGCTGTGCGTATAAACACCATAGATGCAGCGGCTGCAATGTAATACGTTTATTGTGCAAGGTGTAAATAGTTAAACGCAAAACGGAATAATGCGTCGAAGGCATTCCACCAGGCACACATTACGCGCAATGTTATAGAAAACAGGATTTTTTAAAAATTTGGTTAATAAATCACTGCGTAATGCCGAGTAATCCACGAAATTATTATTCTTATTTTGTATTGCGACAATGTTCTTATTAATTTTGGAAAATTGACGTAAACTCGAACGAGTGGGAACACTCAATCTGCACCACACGTATCAACACAAATCCATATCTCTTGCTCAACACACGTGGCCGTGAAGATGCCCGTGTCGTACTAACTAACCACAGTACTAACGAACATTTTTTTTTATCTAGCTGAGCTAAATGGCTTTTATTTCAGAAGCGACCCTGGCACAAATTATACAACTCTGTACACAACTCACATTCACTGCGGCTACATTGTACACGGCACCTAACCAGCACGTCACTTTGGAAAAGTCGTCTGCATATACACAATTATCACACAGAAAGACAGATCCCCCGTATAGCCTTCACATACTATTGGGGCAAGTACTGTTAGCGAGCACCTAGAAAGGCGGACACTGCATAAGCGGAGGAGGATGGCCAGCACCAAGCTCGGCCGCCTTTGTCTCCCTAGTGGCGGTGTTCTTATTTGAGGGGGAGTTGACACACAGATCATCATCATCATCAGCCATGGGTCGATCCAATACTGGATGAAAGCCTCACCAAAGCCGTCGCCACGGCTCACGATGCTGTAATGTAACAAAGACAAAGTTCCCCGTGTAGCCCACACAAGTTTACGGGGCAAGTACGGTTAGTGAGTACGTGTATCGGCGCCTGTGAAGGCCGGCACGGCGCACGAGGGGGTGGTGAGGTTATCAGTACCCCCCCCCCCCACGCGCTAAGACAAGTTCGGTTCAATTGTTAAGTATTGCAATGAATACATTCCACTACTATTGACTGCAGTATTGTAGACAGCTTTTTAATGGTAGGTATATATATATACTGCGTGTATACTATGTGTATGTATATATACAAAGACAAAGATTCCCCACCATAGCCTCAACAGACGAGGAGCGAGAGCTTCTATGAAGGCCGAGACGGCACACGAGGGGGTAGGTGGCCAGCACCAAGCCCGGCCGCCTTTGTCTCCCTCGTGGCGATGTTTTACTACACTCACAGCACCATAGCACACACCTGCCAGCATTTAGGCCTAACACGATGTACAATCTCCACTTGGACGTTGAATAGCGTTGCTTGCTGTCTGCAGTCGTGTGTTCCGTGTTTATTCATTATTATTAAGGCCGCTCGCCACGACACTTTTGCGCTCACCTCTATTTAGAACGGTTGGCTACGAACGGTGCGAAAGAAGTTCAACAAAACATACGTAAACCGTCGACCAATTACTCGTGCCCACGTTCAACATATTTTATCGGGCACTCGAGGGGCATATTCTTTTTCTTTCCCCGTAACGTAAGGGAGAGGAGGCAATCGCTTAATTATTGGCCCGCGTATCGGCTCGACTCTTCGCCACTGGTACACGTTGTGCCGTCGGCAGCAAACGCAAGCAGCGTGGCGCATCCATGCGACGAAGGCGACACCAGAGGGGCCGTGATACGCACGAGAATAACAACTCGCGCTTGTAATTTAGCAAAGGAGAGCGCATATTGATGCGGGGATGCGGCCTATGTAATAACTATGGCGCGCAATGAAATCGATGCTGCTTTTAACATTTAGAGAGGTTGCGTTTTATAAACAAAAAGTAAACTGCACGGGAATGTTTTTACACGATGGGATTTATGTGTGTGCGGTGGTGGTGGTGGTGGTGTGGTTAGGTGCTCGCTTGCAGCACTTGCCCCAAATAGTATGTTGAGGCTATACGGGGAATCTTTTTTCTTACGTTTGTAGAGCGGTTATCGCGCTGCGTTACGAACCCCGGCGACTCGAGTTCGATTCCTGCTCACGGCCAACACCAATAACGGTTATCTGGACCTGTCCTGAGCCTCCCCTAACTCGACTCGGCCTCAAATGACCGCCTGGTGCGGTGCGTAAAACACAAGCATTGGGGAGACAAAGGCGGCCGTGCCATGGTGCTGGCCACCTTACCCCCTCGTACGTGGAGCTGGCCTTCAGAGGTGTTCGCTGACAACTTTTGCACCAAAGCTCTGTTCAGGCTACACGGGGGGTCTTTGTGCATTGTTATTTACGTTTGAACAAAACAGCCAGGCCTACTAATATGTGTAAAGTCTGTGTGTGTGTGTCTGTGCAATTGGCACAGCGTACACAGGAGTACCACTGGGGTAGGATTTTGTGTGTACATGTAAGGAAAGGGGCAACTAAAGTCAAGCCGAGCCCAGTCGTAGTCATGCTTAATACATTTATTGTATATCCATTGACACACAACCAGTTGCAGGCTTTGCCCACTTTCCATCACACTCCACTTCAGGCGAATTGCTTGGCACGCTGACCGTGGCGATGGTTGGTGGTGTATTTGTAAGTGTTTAGCACGCGAGACTTGACGCAATGTAGAACTGCAGACTCGTCCCTGGCGCTACGAGTGCAACAAATCAATCTCCCGATGGAAACATATTGGAGGCGCCGAATAAAAAACAAAATGATTTTACGATGTTTCACCCCACCACCCCGTCCTCGTTCCGAGCGTACAACTCCACAACACATTCTTGCCGAACGACAAACGTTATGACCGCTTCCCGAACGTCACTATCATTTAAATGGGTCACCTCTCCCGTCAGTCACGGCCATCAACTGGCCATTATGTAACCTCGACACGGGCAGCAGCAGCAGCAGCAGCCGCAGCGGCAGCAGCGTTCGGCTGTCTACGACGCGCGCGCGGGACCCGACGGCTCGCCGTTTCGCACGCGTTCGACCGCCGACGAAAACGAAGTTGGGCCGTTCTCGGTCATTGCTGCACCTCGGTCGCTCGTCGAGACGAGCTGCGTGCAAACACGTCCTCGTGTCACAGTTTAATTAGTCAATTGACCGACAATTATCCGGCGCCGCTTGAATAACAAACAGCCCTGGGCCGCTGTGCGCCTGGTCCCTCCGCCTGCAGTTGATGTCGCGTTTTTAACCGTCGCTGCTCAACGATTCTACGACGCTTTACCGCGTGAATGAATCCCCTTTCGTTTCGCCGGTCCCCCCCTCCCCCAACCCTTTCACGGCCTTGCCTTTTGTCCTGCTTCTCCTGGTCCCAACGCCCACGTCCTTCGAATGCCCTTCCTCGATCCTCTCCCCATCTTTCCCCGGTCCTTCCTCCGTCCTTCCTTTGTTCTTCCTCGCGTTCCCCCCGCCGCCCCCCGCTCCCCGCCGCGATTATTTCCGAGACGCAAACCACCTCGGCGCTTCTCCTCCGCGTTCGAAGAGGGACACCTCCATAACCCGACGTCCTCTCCCTTCTCTCTCCTGCTCACCCCCACCCCCCTCCTCCTTCTCCTCGACCACCACGACAGCCGCCCTGGCTCCCTTCACCGTCCAGCGGCGCATCGGCCACCCGTACCAGAACCGCACGCCACCCAAGCGCAAGAAGCCCCGCACGTCGTTCACTCGGCTGCAGATCTGCGAGCTGGAGAAGCGCTTCCATCGACAGAAGTACCTCGCGTCCGCGGAGCGCGCAGCCCTCGCCAAGGCGCTCAAGATGACGGACGCCCAGGTCAAGACGTGGTTCCAGAACCGGCGCACCAAGTGGAGGTGAGGTGGCGTGGGTGGGTTGTGTGGCGTGTGTGTGTGCATGCTATAGTCGGCGGGGGGGGGGGTGCTACAGCCGTGATTACAGGGTTGAGTGTTGGAGGCTATAGCGCTGAGGGTCTCAGCTGTAGTGGTACGGACGGGTACGGGCTCCCATCAAAGTGCAGTTCGACCACGGGCCTAATTCTCACCTTGATCGGTCGTCATTGAAATACCTTCAATTGGTCACGTGTGTGCACGCGCATGATGATTGCTACACGCGTTCCAAGTGACGTCGCGGGCGGGCGTTTATTGAAGTTCAGTTGTGAATATTGTACGCGTGTTGCATGCATGTTAACATGCGTGTGCATGTGTCCCGTCCGTTGTGACGGAGAGAGTGCGGATTCTAATTACGATAGAGAGATCGTGTGTGTGTGTTTACATGTCTTTGTGTACGTGTGTGTACATGTACCGCGCCGGCCTCTCCATAGGTGCTACTCGCTAGCAGCACCTGCCCCAACAGTCTGTTAAGGCTACACGAGGGGTCTTTGTCTTTGTACACGTGTAGCCCACCTGACGTGAAGAGCGTTGCTGCAAATTGATAAACGGCCACCCCCCCCCCCAGCTCCCTACCTGCACACGAGAGACGTGTTTACCAATCATCAGGCGCGTGCAGCGTGTAACGACTTAGATTTGCATTCGAACGAAGAACATTGATAGGTTTGGATAGACCGACCGTGGTGGGTCGCGAGCAGCAGGCCACGTGCACGAGTTGGCCAGTCGGCACTCGAAAACCCCGACAAACCCGGGCGTGGACCTCCCCTCGGTGAACTCGGTCGAAAATCACATCCCGCTGTCGCATTGGGAAGAAAACATGTTTACAAAAAAAACCCTAAAAAGAAAACAAATTCGCCCGGGCGTGTTGACTGCTGGCTCCTGACGCTTCCCTCCAGTTCATTGGCAGCGCTAATAGGCGCTCCCCAACGACACGTAGCCACAACAGTTTGTTCAGCCTTTGTGTGTCCGCTTTTTAGCGCGTGTGATGCTGTCGCGCGCGAGTCCTCTGATGAAAGTGGAAGTATTGAAGGCGATGTCCATTCAGGATCGCGCGCGCGCGCGCGCGTGTGTCTGTGTGTGTGTCTGTGTGTGTCTGTGTGTGTTCGCACGTGTATTTTTGACCGTGATATGTTGAGACTATGAATTCTGAATCTGATTTCGGCGGAGACAGACATGTGTGTTGATCTGAAGGCGCGTCTGTGTATGTATCTGCGTGTGTGTATGTATATGTGTGGCCGTGTATGTCGGTGTGTGTGGTACATTGAGACGCGCGCGCCCAGGTGGACATTGACAACAATGCCTCGGCGATGTTGGATTCGATTGTGAGGGAGGATAGGGAGAGAGCGGGGGGGTAGATTACTGGCGGCATGATATTTCCCGCACCTCCGATTAGCACGGTTGGCTAAGTCCGGTGCGAAATAAGTTCAACGTACATACGTCCACATTTCTGTGAAGCTCTCTGCGCGTGCGTATGCGCATCCCCATGACCACACACGCTTCAATTAACTACCCCCCCCACCACCACCCCCCTCTCTCTCGTTGTTTCATGAAAGCATTATCTTTAGCGCACAAAGCTGCAATGTGGAGGAGATCAGAAGACTTCGTTCCCATGCCGTAGCCGAACGTCATCGGAGAATTCCACGCAGACCCGCGTGTTTACCGGTCGACAAAACTCCCCCCCCCCCTCGTGTGGCCACGATAAAACACGGGGGGGGGGGGTCATGCCCGAGCGTATCCATCCGTGCCGCGTGCACCGTCGGCTATTGGCGATATGATGTCTACCTGTAGGAAAAAAAATAGCCTTGCAGCTAATCGGGATTCCTCCAGCTTAAGTCGATATTCCGATTCTGATATTCGTGACGGTCGTCGTTTGAGTCGAGGTTGGCGATGACGACGCTTCATTCAATCAATGTTCGGGAATTTATAAAATAGTAGCAGCCAGGACCGATAATTGCTTATTTATATTTGCCGAAGGGGTTCGCTGTTGACGTGGTATTATTTCTGGAACCAATCAAGATCCGGTACGAACGAGAAAAATTATCGATTTAATTTTTTGTTAGTTATTAGCATAGGCAAAATATGCTTTGCTCTAATGTCACGATTTCTAGCACTTCTGGAACATCGGTAGAATGTACATCAGCCGCTCAGCCACGGTCGTCTATAGAGCATTAGATAATACACAGCAATGATTGCAGGCGTCGAGTGAATTGAGAGCACCGCACAAAGACAAATATCCACCACACAGATTGTTGGGGAAAGTGCTGTTAGCGATCACCTATTGAGACCGTCTGCAACGGAGGAGTGATGTGACCACGCCCGCCCTCATGTCTTTAGATTTCACGTCCGGTGCTTATTTGAGGCTGAGTCGACCTTGTGTTGGCCCCCGAACCGGTTCATATAATCGTCACTGATGTTGGTGGCTTTGAGCGGCAATCGAACTCGGGTGGCTGGGTTAGTAACGCACTGCGCCACCGCTCCCCACTATATATATAACAAAGACAAAGATCCCCCGTGTAGCCTTAATAGACTGTTGGGGAAAGGGCAGTTAGGGAGCACCGTTGAATACCGACACGGCACAACAGTGTGTTACAGGCTACACGGGGGGGGGGGGACTTGTTGTCTTTGTGTGTGCGTGTACACGCATCGGCTGCGTTGCGCGCTGTTTATTCGCGGTTGCTCCGTTTAATGGGGAATCGAATCTCGCTTCGTGAAACAGCCCGCAGCGCCGCGTCAATGATCTAAATGACCTCTCGCCTCTGATGAGATCATTTTCGTGTCAAGTGCGTGGCGATTCCCCCCCTACCCCTTCCACCTCCTCCTCTTCAAACACCACGCTACCGTTTTTGGCGCAGGTGGTTTATATGGTTTATTTTTTTTTCCTGGGCTAGGGGCAGGGTTGATGGCGTTTGTTGAAGGCGTGAGCGGCGTTTGTGTTTCTATGGATTGATTCTCTAATGAAGAGGTGGAGGGAAGTTGTGTGGCGTGACAATTCGTGCGCACGGTGTTGGGAAGAACCCTGACGCATTAGAACGGTGGTGGTGGTGGTGGCGATCCGTGCGTAAGAGGTTGTGTGAAGAGGTTGTGTAGCGATAAGTGCGCTGTGCTACAACCACGGCGACCCGAGTTCGATTCCCGCTTCACGGCCAACACCTGTTGACCATTATCTGCACCGGTCCTGGGCGTCCCCTAGGTCGACTCGGCCTCAAATGAGTAACCTGGTGCGTGGTAGAAACATCGCCACTAGGAAGACAAAGGCGGCCGGGCGAGGTGCAGGCCGCCCACCACCTCGTGTGACGTGCCGACCTTCATAGGTGCTCGCCAACAGCACTGGCCCCCATAGTCTGTTAAGGCTACACGGGGGATCTTTGTTGGTGTGTGAGATGTAAGAATGTGTTGGAGTATAGGTCGTGCTCTAGCAGATACACTTTCGTCTGGCGTCATACACGATTTTTCACGGTTGGCTACGTACGGTGCGATAGAAATTCAACATACATCCATACATATATGATAACAATGTGATTTACAGCTTGAGTGTTTTTTTTATAATTGTATTTTTTCATCTGAAAAGGAAACAATACGGAAATGGTGTAATCGAACCATACACTACGTATATATATATTTTATAGACAGACGAATTCCCTGCAGCAGACCACATGCACAGACATATTCATGTACACATACGGAGGGTGATGCAAATATTTTATTCGAGGTATAATTACTAAAAATATATAACCAAGCTAATATTTAACTCTTGGTGAACGCGAGTTGATTCAAAATTTACTAAATTACACGGTGAGCTCGAGTGGCAAAGTTCGCGACCAATATTAAATCGATTAAACACTTTTTTGTTAATTGTACGTTAATATTTGTGCATGCCTTTCACATTGCCGTGACCGTTTTGTTCACCTACCTTCTATAGTATCCACCCCACACACGGGTATATGTGTACTAGCGGCAGGAGGAACAATGTTTAAAGAAGGGGCAGAGGGGTGGTGAGATTGTCTAGTGGTTACGTTCGGCGTGCAGTTATTTTTATTACCGTATTACTTAGTCGTGTATAATTGTTTATAGATTTGTTTTATTTAATTTAGGCCATTTCGATGACTACGTCAATATGCAATGCCCTGTCTTAGTCTTACAAAGGCCCAGCGGAATGGTGATTGGAAATTCAAAAAGACCCTCCCGGTATCTGTCGATGGTAGAGAAACCTTTCCTAAATGCTTCTCACTCACGTGATTGGTTGCCCCCCCCCCATATATTTCGTCAGTTGTATTCGCAATAATTTTGCTCAACAATTATTTATGATGTACGCGCGGTCGCAGCTAGGCCGATGGGTTTTGTATAGTTGTACCTGCAATTTGTTTTGCCCGTTTGTAAGTATTCACTCAATGATGGGGGGCTTTTTCAGCTTGACTCGCATGGCGCAGAAGACACGATGTTCAAATATACTTTTTTAAAGGGGCAGGTTTTTTTCCAGAGAAATTCATTCGCTGCCCTGTATTATAATAAACATGCACAAGATGGCACATATATACACACATATACGTATGCACGCACACAACATCTTCCACCCACGTACATTATGAACGCGAATGTAAAACAGATGTACATACTTGTATTGCATATACTTCTACAGGTGCAGCCCCTTTGCCAATCCACTGCTGGATGAAGGCCTCCCCACCACATGCTGGTCGTGGGAGTTATTTGACCATACTTCACCATGCTGGTCAGTGAGGGTTGGTGAAGGCGGGGAGCGTTGACGTGGGAGTGGGGTGTGCGGAGGTGCACATCCTACAGTACGTCTGTCTATTGCCCATGCTTTCAAGTAGCGAGCTGATGATACGTTAATAAAAAATAATGATATAAAAAAAATATTAAGAATGTGCTTTCGTCTTTCTGGCAATACAACAGGTGTTAAGATTCTAGATTTGAAGCTTTCGTGACTGCAAGGATTCATACTCTTTGTT